CTTGTCGCACTTTGGAGCTCTATCAGAAAGAAAAGCCATATGGAACTAATCATGCACATTTTGTCTGGCAGATAGGCATTATAGCAGATTGTGTTTTCCCTTCAAGTGATGGCCCATATGAGCATGCAAATTGTGGTGTGCATATATTCCAATATGCAAGACAGGATTTTTTGTTCTGACAAAATCCACAGTGATGCAGATCCTCCTCAGTTTGGTAATAATCATAAGAAATGAGCACACTCATCACTGCCTATCTGCCAGTCAAATGTGACTTTATTTTTTTCTTTTTGCAAGCTGCCCTCACACAAACATTAATCTTTTTGAGGCTGTTTTCATTCTTATTATATTTCATATATCACTTGAATTTATTTCCTTGTCTGTTGGCTGCTCATGACCATAGTAGAGTTCAGATTACAGATCCCACACGTGGCTCTGAAGCACTGTCTGGCGACAACCTTGACAAACTTGCTTGCCTCAAGGCAAACTCTTTCCCAGAGACTGTCCAGCCCCTGTGAGACAATACAGACTGTACTTCTAATTGCTTTTCTGCCTTGGATGGAATGGGCTTCCTTATAGGTTCATCTAAAGGTACATAACTACACAAATTCCTTGGCTTTCATGAGATGAGGTTGTAGGTCCCCTTGGATTGTCCCATGCTAGGACTCAAGCTTAATGTAATATTCATTTATATATGTTTATGCTGTTTTCAGTGAATCCATCAGTAAATGCAATAGAAAAAAAAGGCTTCTTAAGCTGGAAGACCTTGTGCCAAAATATAAGCCAGGGATATCACCAGCAGCACCTGAAATTGGCTTTCTTTTAAATTCACCTTATTATGAAATTCACCTGGACTTGTAAGTGGCAGCAGGAGCCTTGGAGATGTTTCAGCTGTCCAATAATATTTATAAGAGAAGACTCGATACTAGGCAAAAGATTGCATATAGAAAACATTTCTTAGTCAGAATCCCCAAGTATTCAGTTCTTTTCACCCCTTACTGCATGCATCCCTTCTTTCTCTAAATGACAGCAGTCGCTGATGATCTCTCTCAGAGAGACCTTAATCCTTTCCTGATTCAGGATTTTGCCTTCATGTTTTAAACGTGGCATTTGATACCATAGTCACAGCCATTCAATTCTCTGGTTCTTCAGTCTTGGTTAAAGGTATGCCAAGGGAAAAGCACCAGACAGTGGAGGACCTGGAGCTCCTGAATCTAGGGTTCATGGAGATCTTTGGCCCCAGAGCAGATGGGACTCTGAGGAGTTCAACAAGTTAAAGGCTCCCCTTTGATCTCAAGGAGTACCTAGAAGCACTAAATGTAAACAACAGCACACACAATGTGTGATCAGCTGGTGTTGTCAGTCCAGAAGTCATTTATGTCCTGCAGGACAGCCTATCAACAGTTCTGAGATACCAAGGTTTAACTAGACATCACTGCTGCCAGAGACCATTTGTCTGTACCTACCAGCTTCTTGCACAGCTATGGAGGTGTCTTGGAGGATGCAGTCCTCTTTCTCCCCACACTATCAATCATCATTATCAACCCCTTTCAACACCTAGCTAGCCGGGTATCTTTCTACACTGGAATCAACCATTTCTGAGGCTAAGCTGTTGGGCAAAGCAAATCATGAAGACAGACTGCAATCTAATTTCTTTGACATTGCATATGCACATTCCTATCACTTTTCCAGATTCTCCTCGTGATTCAATTTCTGCAGCACTTGGGACCCTCTTCTGGCACAGGGGCTGGACAAACAGCCTTCCTCATCTCAGGAAGAAGGAATTTCACATCAGTGACTATCCCCTCATAAACTGTATTCCTTTTGGATACCTTACAGCAAACTCCCACTGTAAACCATTCTGACAGCCCCCTGCCCTCTTGTTGTAGCATGAACTTTTAAGTAGCTGTAGGAAGTACACTTTCAAAACAAAGCTCTGACAGAGGCAGTCTGTAACAAATGCTTCAAGGCATGAATATAGGTTAGATATTTGGTCACACTCATACGTTTGGATATTCTGTCAAAAAAAATAATGTACATATGCATCAGTACTCCAGAAATGTGCAAAGTGTGCCAGTCCTTCCTTTCATACTCAGGCAGAGATGGCCAATACAAACTCTACACAGCAAGCAGGGAAGTGCCAGAACATTCCCTCTGTTGAGATGCAGAAGGCCTCTGCACTTGGAGTGTGATGTTGCAGCACTATTTTCCCTCTACCGCTCAAATTATGGTTATCATCCTTACAGGTGGTCTGACTCAAAAAACAGTTCAAGACAATGTCTCCACAATTTTTTTTCTGTGATCAGAGACATCCTATGATCAATCTTCTTAGGCTTGAGAAGATAGCAAACCACAGATCTCTGCTCTTCAGTCAGTCTGTCTCTAGGTAGTGATAATATCTGCTGTATGTCTTCCTTCCTGTTCTTCCCAAAGCTCTGAGGAAGGCAAGATGTGTCATCTCAATTGCAGTTGTGTGGCTGAGATTATTTCAGTTTCACATCCTATTCTTTCTCATTTCCCTATCAGCCATCCCAAATACCCACTAAAAGGATTTGGGAAAGTGTGTCTTTTCTAAATCACAAGTCCCTGCAACTCACATCACTGTGTATGGAAAACTCTTGGGATGAGAGTACAACTTACCTTGCTTGGGATTAAACCTCTGTGTGAAGAGCACAAAGGAGTCTACCCGATCTGAATGAAGAGTGGTCTGGGTTTTTTGAGACTGCATGAAAATGTGCCCGTGGAACACAAGGTATTTTTATGCCTTTTTTTAAGAATAATCATAAAGTACCTATTCAAACTCAGGAACACAGAACTTATCATTAGTTTGTTAAAAATGCATCTGATAGCTGTAGCCCCTTGCCTTTTCCCACAGGTATGTTTTTTCCTCCCAGCAGTTGCACAGTTCTGAATTGCACTGCACTGATACTACTACAAATACATGTTCTATATGGAGAGGTAAAGCTGAGGAACTTAAATTTCCTGCATGGGAGATGGATGTGAAGAGTGAAGTTAGGAACTTATGGCAGGATGAAAATTTGAAATACTTTCCTCAAGGTTATCTTTTGGGTTAGACAGATGATTGCAGTGTCAAATGGGCTTCCAGCAGTGAAATGGATAAGTTAATTTTTTTAATTAGAGATTTAGTTCAGCATGTAGCTGTACTTGTGAGGGGGTATATGACTATTTCCTTAATACATATGTATTGTATTAATACATATATATTGTAATACATATGTAAGAGAATGGAAAGGATATATTATCAACATCATAAACCATCACATTTTACAGACCTAGCTGGAACTGAGAGACTATGTCATGGATTAAAAAGGCAGTTTGGGTTCACTTGGCACTATTCACAGGGTAGGGAATTTGGAGCTAGCCTCAGTTTGAGCTGTAGGGTTTATGGTAAGTGAGAAAGGAACTGAAGGCGGCAGATGAGTGTGCTTCCTTGTGTTATGCAATACTTGCCCTTGGAAACTCTCTCACTGAAGCTATCATTTTTAAATAAAACATTCAAAAATTAATGGACAAAATGACTTAAAGTCATTTGTTCTGTCAGCAGGTCAGTGCACTAGCAACCATGCTATCAGTATGTTTAGTCTGTTTTTCTGGCCAGTGATAAAGTTGTGTGGTTTTACTTCATCAGGAGTATGCCATAGTGATGCTTGTGCTTGATTCAGAAGTTGTACAATCTAGGTGGGGAGAAAAACATCCTTAGAGAGAGAACAACTGTTGATCTAGGGCTACCTCTGTTCTATTAATATATATAAATATAAAAGTTATATATATGTGTAAAAGTTATGAATAATATCTGAGAGCAAATCACATCTAATTCATCAATGGCTTAAGATACTGGGGAGACTGGGTTTGCCATATTTCCGTTGTTGTACCACTTCATTGAGAAAGCAATCATTGGAAAAACAGGAGTGGTTAGAACCTCAGCTAGAGTTTGATCAAAAGAGAATAGGAATATAGAAAAGGTTTTCTGACCTTTTTCTGTTCTGTATGTTAAATGCTGTTTGATTTGATTGTTCTTGACAACTTCCCTCATATGATGCAGAATTCTCCATCTGGAAGAAATACGAACTCTTCGTCCTTTTATAGAATACAAAGAACAATGACGGCCTCTGAGCAGAAAAAACCATGTTGTGTTCTCTGAAGATATGAAGAGCACAATGTCTGAAGGAATTATTCTGGAATCATTAAACAATTACAGGAGGTGGGACAATTATTTTTCATCTCGGTCCTTATGGTGGTGGTTATTCAGGACAGCAGTAATTTTCATAGGTCAGCATGCGTGTGCATGCATGCGTGTTTGACAAACACAGCAAATAACATTTTATTTATAGTACTGATTCTAAATCTTTGCATCTCTCGCAATAAACACGTAGAACGTGATTTAAATATCGATACGACACATTCTTTGTTTGCTTCACTCATTACTCAGTGAGGTTACGGAGATCAAAGAAAATAAATGTGCAACTGAAAGTGGCAGATTTATTAATCATACTTTAGAAAGCTCAATACCAAAAGCCACATGCTGTCTTGCCAGTCCTAGTTTGAACTGTAAAAAAACAATATATATGCCTCAATAATGTTCCATTTCTCATTTACAGATATCATTGTTCGTGAGTGTGGGAAATTAAAACATAATAAAATCACAGCGACATTGAAACACATATTTTTTGTCTGAGCAGCTCTTCTCTTTATGATGGAAAGCACGTACCACTCTCCCTACTTTATATCTGAGAAATTGCCACAGATACTGAAGGCACACAGTAGATCATTAGCTAAGGCAAGAACTGAGATGAGTTTCTTTGATTTGTGAATGTGTCCTCACCACCTGATTAGGTAATTTTTATTGCAGAAGCAAATATTCAATCTTTATTATGTGCACTGCAGTGCAATCTAGCAAGCTACAAGCATGGGTCTGAAACCCATAGTTTTAGTCTGCAAACTCAAACCAAAAATACAGCGCAGCAGGGAAAAAGATGGATGACAGAGCAGTGCATCTCAGTGCATCTTTATTGAGGGTCTATTTTTCCGTGTTTCTGCATGTCCTGACCATTACCACAGCCATAACATGAATCTGACAGCACTGACTCTTCTTTTCTCTCTTTGGAAAACTGGTGATGAAACAAGATTTCTGAAGTAAGTGGCTGTCAATCAATACCCAATATGCACACAGGTGCTGATTTCACACTCTTCTAGACAAAAATCAGCAATAAGTGGAAAGGTAAGCAATACTCAATTATAGCATGAAGTCTAAAATCTTTTTGTGATGTGACATTTAAAGAGAACAGTCTCAAATATTACTTAAAAGAGCCAAGAAATGTTTGTTAGCTAGCAGCTTTCTGCAGGCTGTATTCAACGGGGTCTGTGAGATACTTATAATGAATAGATTACAAACATTTCTGATAATTTTTGCAAGTTTTTCTTGTGTCTATGATGGATAACAGGGTATTATCACCCCAAACAAGTCTTATCTGTCAGTATTCATTGTGAATACTAAATTGGAGTTATTTGTAGTGATTAGCACTGCAGTGACCTTTGGTAGTGCACATCATTACACCTTAGAAATGATCACAGCTCTCAGAAGAGGAGAGCGAGAAGAAGCAGCACTGCAAACAGTGCAGCTGCAATGGAAGGAAAGGGAAAGAGCATTGCAGGAGCCTAGGAGAACTGAAGTCTTGTGGGAAGAAGGGCAGTGTGTGACCCTACCCTGAGGCTGAGACACAGCACTACAAACAGACAGCAGAAAGGGTCATTTATAGCCTACCTTTTTTCTTTTTTTTTTCTTTTTCCCCAACTTCAGATATATACACATGAAATCTGGAAAGCCACTGGATGTGTCAAAATGAGCCTCAAATGAAGATTCACCTTGATCTCATTATGACATTAGACTGCTGCCAAGTGGACAGCTGATCTCAGAGCAGATCTGACTACAGTAAGTAGAGCTGATGGATTTTTCATTGAGTTGCTCAATTTGTAATTGTGAGTGCAAAAAAATACAGTGCCTGAGGTATTGCTTACACAAAATGTTTCCAACAATTAAAAAGGAGTAAATGAGAGGAAAGAAAAGGGGGGGATTGGGGGGAGTAAGGGAGAGTAACAGTTATCTAGCTCTATGAGGTAAATATCAGTGCAAATTTATGGCTTTAATTTTTCAGTCCACCTATGCTTTGTGCTTGCATTGAGGCGTACAACTAAGGATGTGCTTTCAAATATATGTGCTATAATGGTTTTACATAGTAAAAGAGCACCTTCTGTATAAATAAAATACTAAAAAAGAATAAAATACTGTAGTAATCAAGCTTTTTGTAACTTTGCTTTACATTCTCACTTATCAAAGTATCACTTAGACATATATCCACATGGGTATCAGCTCTGAAGAACAGCACATCATTTACCTGTGCTCTGTCAAACAGCCAGGCTGCTCCCCTGCTCACCTCACTGCCCACCCTGCAAGTGCTTGGAGCAGGACAAAGATGGACTGGATTTCACTTTCCCAAAGTAGGGTAATGAAGGGCAGGCCTGAGAGGCAGCCTATGCTCTTGGCCCTCCTCAGTCCTGGAAGTAGCCTGGCCTGAACACTCTTGAATAAACAGAAATGTAACTTATAAAATCATAGAATGGCTTGGGTTGGAAGAGAAATCAAAGATCATTAATCTCCAACCCCCTGCCACACACAGGGCCAACAACCTCCATATCTAATACTAGACCAGGCTGCCCAGGGCCCCATCCAACCTGACCTTTAATACCTCCAGGGACGGGGCATCCACAGCCTCTCTAGGCAGCCTGTTCCAGCACCCCACCACTCTCTTGGTAAAGAACTTCCCCCTGACATCCAACCTAAATCTCCCCTCCCTCAACTTAAAACCATTTCCCTTTGTCCTGCTGTTATCTACCCTTGTAAAGAGTTGAATCCCCTCCTGTTTGTAGGCTCCCTTTAGGTACTGGAAGGCTGCAATGAGGTCACCCCGCAGCCTTCTCTTCTCCAGGCTGAACAAGCCCAGCTCCCTCAGCCTGTCTTCACAGGGGAGGTGCTCCAGCCCCCTGATCATCTTTGTGGCTCTGCTCTGGACCCTCTCCAACAGCTCCCTGTCCTTCTTGTACTGGGGGCTCCACACCTGGACACAGTACATACAGGGCCTCCCAAGAGCAGAGTGGAGGGGGACAATCACCTCCCTGTCCCTGCTGACCACCCCTCTTCTGATGGAGCCCAGGATGCCATTTGCTTTCTGAGCTGCAAGAGCATCTGCAAGCATGAAAGATATTCTGCTAAAGATGCATTAAGGGGAGTGGATGGGGAAATATGATACAAACTGCTTTCTTTTCATGTGAGACAGCTGACATTTCCACACGGTGCCTGGTGCCAGGCAGCACACAGCTACTGCTACTGGATGTGGCCATGGATGCTTTGCATTATTCCTTCAGCACTCTCTCAGGGTGAAAACTCAGTAGCCTGGAATAAATTAAATGCATTTTCATTTCTGTCTCCATTAAACATAGCAAATTTCAAGACAAGCTGAATCTGGATTTAGAATCTAGAGCACTTAACATGTCAGCCACTAAACAAAATACAACGTGTTTCTTAAATACTATATGACAGTCACTGCCCTACAATATCACTGTAGTTTTAATTAAACTACCTGAAATGGAATAAAATGGAACCCACAGAAATTGTAAGAAATTACTTGTTTATGCAGATGTCACAGAGAAGCATAAAATACAACAGAGGCAGACAATCTTTTTCTCCCCTCTCCTTTTCTCACCTGGCCTCGCCTCACCTCTCCTATCTGGATTCCTTACCTTAGCAAGGTCAGCAGCACTCCTGTAGTATCACTTCCCACTCTGTAATAGTCATAATACCAGCTCTGCAAGCCTGTGAAGCCGTTATAAATAGTCCAACTGATAATTTACAGCTAAGAAGTCAGGTTTTTATAGGACCGGGGAATTTTCAGTCTATCTCTTACGCAACTATGATTGAAGTCTGCTGAGGAATGAACTGTCAGCAGAAGGCAGCTGAGCTCTGCTCTGGGAGCGTGTGACTGTGCTCGGTACGGCAGTTCGGGGATGTCTCACCAGATGTCTCCCTTGTACCAAATTCTTAGGTGCAAAGTTTTTTATTGCAAAGTCCAATTAGAAAACCTTCATGATTTCCGTTTAAAAGATACTGTATGTGACTACTACATAAATATTGCTGCACAGTGACTTGCTGGATACAGAAGACTGATTTAAAGTAGTTTCCTCATTCCAAACTATAATATGTTACTTAAGAGTGCATCATTTGCTGATTAGGTGCATCAGTTTGGTAAGCTGCAGTGCCTAAAGCTTCAAATTTGATTGCAGTCATTTTAATCACGTAACTAATTTTCAGTAACAAAGAGTTGTTTATTCCAAATGCATTCATGCATGTGAAATAAACTCAGTTATGCCGCATTCTGGAAGTGATAGTACTCTTACCAATTCCTAACATCATTAAAGCTCAGCCTACATGAAGGAAAAAGTGGTGGGAGAAGGAAGCATCCTCTGAAATTATTTTAAATTACGATTTAATCCAAAGGGACAGGCTCCAAAAACATGTGACCTTTGTGCCTCTGATATGAAAGAGCTGTCAAGTCCCTGCCCTGAGAGTGACACTAATACGATGGCTCATCTCACACCTCCCCTGGATCTGCATCCCACTCAATGGCAGTGCTTGGCCATGCCCTCCCAGAAGCAGCCAGCTGCTCAGCCTACCCGCACTGCTTCCTCTGGCCCAGAGGATGAGTGAGGAAAAGACGACTCAGTGAGGGAGCTTTATTTTGCAGCATGCTTTCCTAGATGTTGTGATCAGGGTGTGAAACCCTGCATGGGGAATCTTACTGTCTTGGAGAAGAAAAACTTGAGATTCCTGGGCCTGCAATACAAGCACCAGAGAGGGTAAACATTTAACAAAGCCTCAGAGTACTTTTGCTGATGGAAAAGTACTCACATCTAGCCAGACACCTTTCACGGAATGTACCTTCTCTCTGCTAAAAGCCATTTAGGAATGGCTTTTCAGAAATCTTTGGTTTTAGTCAGATGTTGGAGTGGGACCTAGAATGAATAATCTTACTGCCAACACACGTAAATCTCTGTTCCTAACCTATCACCTGTAGGCCAAAAGATGAGGAACAGGAATCCAAGGACATAATGTGTTGGCAGCAAAATGTCGCCTGAAGGCCATGAAACTGCTTTCACACTCCACTTGCTGCCTGCCAGTGAATGGGGGCTGCCCAGGTGTGTGCAGAATGTGTGCGCAGGGATATGTGGGTGGGAGAGGAGGAGGTTCATTGTCTTGTTCCAGAAGTGAATGGTTTTCAGTCTATTTTAGGAAGATGCCATCAGTGGGACATAAAATGCTTGGAACATGTCCTCTCTCACTCAGAAACTCCCTCTATAGCGATGGTGGGGAGGAAGCCACTGGAAAATTCCTGCACTTAACAAATTCGGATATATTGTTTTTCCATCTTTTTTAACTGCACAAGCAGTGAAAAGCAACTGGAGTGACAGCCCAGACTGGTCCAGACTGAGATCCAAAAGACATTCTGCAAGAATAGGACTTTGATGCAAGAGTGGGAGTGCAGGACCTTAACACAAATAGGAAACAAGCTCATTGACAACATCAGTCTGATCTACTGATGTAGGGTTCTAATCAGAAGAGCTATCTGAAACTTAAATCCAACCCTAGGATTTAACAAAATAACACATAAATCTAAATGTACAAGGACTTCTCCGAAAGTAATGCCTCCTGTTTTATCATGTTGGCTCACAGTGTCAGAGGTGCATGTTGGTGATATGGCAGTAGAGGTTGCACTTTCACACCAGTACCCTATTATGTGTTGTTCCTGTGTTACAGATGGCAGCAGAGGGGCACTCTGACACAGCGGCATCTGATATGGAATTGCAGATAAAGCAAAGGGGTGCAACTGAATTTCTCTATGCAGAAAAAATGGCACCCATTGACATTTACTGATGCTTTCTGAATGTTGATGGAGACCAAGCAGTGGATGTGAGCACAGTGAGGTGGTGGGTGGTGCATTTCAGCAGTGCTGACAGCGGCAGTGGGTCACCTCCGCTGGTACAGATTGTTAAGATCACAGCATGCAGGCTCCTGTTCATCACTGGTGAAAATGAAAAGCTAGGCAGTGGTGACTGTGTTGAAAAATTGTATTTTGTAGCTGAGTATTTGCTCTATCAAGTAGTGTTAATGTGCTCTCTGTATCTGTTGTAGTTCTCATGGAAATAAATAGGAGCATTACTTTCAGAGCAACCTATGCACATACGAAAAAAATGCAACTAAATACTGCAGTGGGTACTTCTGAGCTTTTCTAAGCTGGAAGGTGAAGTGGTGCTAAAAAGAAGGAACAGTTTGTACATTGGCTTACACTCAGAGATTTAATTTCTCCACAGTAGGTAACCAGCACTGACATCTGTAAAAGTCACTGTGCATTAAAGAACAAGAATCCAAATATGGGTCATCCAGAAAGCCTGCCAGCCCATCTCTGCCAGCAACGGCAGCTGCAATACAAGCACAAAGGCAGAAGTTTTTATTGCAGTGACTTCTGATGATTGAGCCCAGCACTCTTTTCAAAGGAGGGGCTGGCTGCTCACCAGACCTATTTTAATGCTTGATTCCAGAAAGCTGATGGCTTTGAACTTGACACAGGGGAACAGAGGGCAGGCAGCAAGAGAAGAAGACAAATGCAGGCAAACTCATTTAAGCCAGTTGTGACTTGAGGTTCTTCATTTTTGCACAAGTGCTGAAGGCAGTGAGGTGAAACAAAACAGGCTGACTTTACCAACAGCAGAGTGGAAACTGAGGTGCAAAAATAAATGTAACAGACAAAGGAACGCCTCCATTGTGAAATAACTCGGAGACTTGCCAGAGCAAAATTTATTTTCAGATTTGCAGTGAGCTCA